TCTCTCTCTCTCTCTCTCTCTCTCTCTCTCTCTCTTCTTTCTTTCTTTCTTTCTTTCTTTCTTTCTTCTTTCTTTCTTTTATTTCTTTTTTTCTCTCTCTTTTTCTTCCTCCCTCCTTCCCTCCCTCCCTTCCTCCCTTCCTTTCTTTCTTTGCTGGAAGCCGGTCCGTCCTTGCTGCTTGACACAGTCGCTGCAGGAAAGAAACATCTGCACAGCATATGTTTCAAGGGACCTGGCATATATAGCATATTGTTCTTAATATGTTTGCTCTCCTTAAGCGCCATGTGTTTTAACCAAGGTCACCTCTCCGAGAAAGGTTGTTTCCCCAGGTGGGGATTTTTCCCCGAGGTTAGGGAGGGGATACAACCCCTTAACTAAGTGCCAGGCGGGTAGTTAAGCTACATAATCTTTACTCCCTGGAATGGAGATAAGAAACGCCCTAACCTTTGTAATAGAAATTGACAGGATTAAAATCGGCTGGTATAAATATAGATGTAACAAGACAATAAACATCAGATCCTGATCAGTTCCTAACCAGAACTCCGATCAGAACTTTGGCTGGAGATCCTGGCTAGAGGTCCTGACTAGGCTGCTGATCAACTGAAGGCTGTCTCCCTGTCATTCCTTCTTCGCCGACTCCGTCCACACCTTTGGGGACCCCTGGACCCACTGGGGTTGGACCCCAACATTTCTTCACTATTGGTCCATTCTGTTTTCATTTCTAAAAACTTGGATTTTACACAGTACATACTAGGACAGTCATTGTTTCTCTGGTTCCACCAATATTTTTAAGTAGTCTGACACTAAAATTATAATGCATTTTTCCTAAAGATTTTTTTTTCTTTAAGCATCTGGCATTGTTTATTCAGAGGAACTTTTAAAGCTTTCTTTCTTTTGCATTCCTAATTTTTTAGAAAATGCAATTCCGCGGTCCTTTTTTCTGCTTTAGTAATTATGCTTTGGGTTTTCCTTTTTGCTTTTAATTTTATGGTTGGATATTTTATTTTAGCGTTGGCATTATGTGGACTTGAGGACAGGCTAACTTGAGGCAACCCTAATTAACAGTTCTAGGTATATCGCTTCATGTTCATAATACACAGAGAACTCAGAGTTCTCTCTCATTAATGAAGTGAGATTACAGTGTATACATTTTTCTACTACAGGTTTTGTCACTCAAGGACATGAGTATTTTTCTATGTCAATATATATAGGTATAACTTTTTTAAAAAAATATATTTTATTGATTTTTTTACAGAGAGGAAGGAAGAGGAATAGAGAGTTAGAAACATCAATGAGAGAGAAACATCAATCAGCTGCCTCCTGCACACCCCCTACTGGGGATATGCCCGCAACCAAGGTACATGCCCTTGACCAGAATCGAGCCTGGGACTCTCCAGTCCGCAGGCCGGCGCTCTATCCACTAAGCAAAACCAGTTAGGGAAGGTATAACTCTTTTTTGTTTGCTTGTGTGTTTGTTTTTTTGTTTGTTTGTTTTTTACCCCCTTTACCCTCCATGTCCCTGTCTCTGGCAATCACCAATCTGTTCTTTGTTGTTTTTCTTTTATTTGACATACTAGAGGCCCGGTGCATGAAATTCATGCACTTGGGGGGGGGGGTCCCTCAGCCTGGCCTGCGCCCTCTCACAGTCCGGGGCTCTCGAAGTCTGGGACCCCTCGCTCCTTACCGCCCTCCTGCTGTGGAGGCGGGAGAGGCTCCCGCCACTGCTGCCGCACTTGCCAGCCGTGAGCCCAGCTTCTGGCTGAGCAGCACTCCCCCTGTGGGAGCGCACTGACCACTGGGGGGGAAGCTCCTGCATTGAGCATCTGCCCCCTGGTGGTCAGTGCACATCATAGTGACTGGTCGATTTGCATATTAGGCTTTTATTTTATAGGACTAGAGGCCCGGTGCACAAAAATTTGT